TATACTGATACATAATAATCCTCAAATTAGTATTTGTCATTGAGAACTGATTTGGTCATGATGTAATATCACATATAATTATGCTAAAATTGTGTTCAGAATACTGGCATCTATGGTCATGAGGGTTTACCTCAGGAATGCATGACTGGGTTACCATTCTACCTCAATTCTAATTAACCATAGAAAAGCCATATGGTAAGATATCATAGAATAATTACCTCAGATACAAAAATCCACTCTGAGCAGGGAGAACCCGTTGAATTTCCTTCCACATTGTAATTTGTAGAAAACGCCTACCATAGTTAAGAAGCCCTAAATATTACATATAGTGTCTATACTAAGGGTACTTTATTCCACATACTTATGACCCTAAAGAGGCCAACTGGACTCATTTTTGTTTCCGAAAACAACTCTAGTTGCTCAAGAAAAGAGAATATATTTCAGCCTAATGGTTACCATATTATGAACTCAAGCTGATGAAATGTAACTATATTAATTTTGTGTCCAAACATAAGTTTAAGGAGGAAAAACATGAGCATTAGATCTACTTTGCTATCTCCTTTAGAAGTCAGTATTTTATCCTTGAAAGAAATATTTAACAAACAAAAGATATTCATTTGAAGATCTAGTAATGGTTATGGCATAATAGTTATTTAAACCTAACAAATTTTCATTGTCTTAAATGTGCATTGATATAGTGCCAGAGGAATATGCAAACAGAATTTAAAACTGGGGCCACTACACTATATTCATTATTACTAATTCTAGAAACTCTTGAAACTTATGGGTGACCTACTTGTCAGAACGTTCTCTCTACCAAATAAAGGACAACGCAATCTCTGTTATGAACTGTCATTACTAATTTAGCAGAGCTAGAAGGCAGCTCAGCCGAGTAGACAGAAAATTAACACATGGGCAGCTCCTGATTGGAAACGTATTCATAGCAGGTAATGAAACAGCACAGTCAGGATCTCTGGTACTACTCAGAGTAAGAGATTTAATTCTGATAACTTTGATGATGGCACTTGAATCCCAGATTCTAAAAGGTGACAGGTTGTGACATATAGATAGGATAAAATGAGCATCAGTAGCGTATCTCTACAGAAGCAATTCTATAACATCAATTTTTTCAAACAGTAAATATAATAATTTCAAAAATTATGACAGAAGTTTTCAAAGAAGAGGCTTAGGTCTTAAGCAAGCCATGTGCCATATTTATGTCTATTTGTCAGTGGGCTATAAAATTAATCAGCCTAACAAATGTAAGGGGTGCAAATATTCATATTTAAAATATGAAATATAAATTGTAGTTTCTGATTTCATCTGAATAAGGAACAAACTCAAAATTACAGGCAGAGTAGCTATTTTATGAAGAGGGTGAAAGTGAAGGATTGGGTTATATATTTATATGCATGTAAGGAATATTCATTAAATGCATTCACATATAGCTAAATACAAGTATGCTGTTCACATTTTTTAAATATAGTTTTTTATTTTGAATTTTGTGTGCCTTTTTAAATTTTCTAATTATCTACAATGGCATTATTTTATAATGAAAGGTGTATTTTTTTTTAAATTGCCTATTTCAGACATAACTCTCTGATATTTCTCATAAGAGAAATATGGTTGAGTAAATAATATTTCCACATGAACAGGTATTTCAATACATCTCTTTTGAATTTGTAACGCAGCATATTTGTTGTGTGTGGTTAAAATTACTTAACGCCCCTTCAAAGGGAGGGGTGTTAAGGAATTTTAAGGCTGTGTGCAAAAATGCTCATATCTAACAAGTTTTATTCGATAAACTAACAAGTTTTCAAGTTTTCTTGAAACCGTGATTGACCAGTAGCTTTCAGCAGAAATGGCACTGTGCCACGTTCTAAACCCAGACCATATAAAATGGCAGCTTGCACATCCTGTCTTTCGGGACTGTCACTCTCGTGAGAAAGCCCACGTTGTCTGTGGAGTGGGCTAGGCGGAGGGGAGCTGGGGTCCTCAACCTCACAACCAAGGCTGAGCTCCTAGCTGACAGCACCAACTGTAGGCCATGTGAGTGAACCATCCTGAAAGCAGATGCTCTGTCCCCTACATGAGCCACCCCAGCTGACACAAGGTGAAGAAGAGAAGAGCAGTCCACACTGAGGTATACCCAAATTGTGAGTTTGGGAACAAAACAGATATTGCTGTGAAGTCACTAAATATTTGGCTTGTTTATTAAGCAGCAATAAATAACCAAAAGAGCAAAGTAGGACTTTGATCATGAATGCTAAGACATGTTTGTTTAAATGAATTTATATACACCGGCTTTGGGGGATTTTATCCATATTGTTTAATAATGTCATAACTAATTGTGATGGTTTATACTGATTGTCAACTTGATCATTTTGAAGGATGCAATGTATTGTTTCTGGATACGTCTGTGAGGGTGTTGCCAAAGGAGATTAACATTTGAGTCGGTGGACTGGGAAAAGCAGAAACCCACCCTCGATCTGGATGGGCACCGTCTAATCAGCTGCCAGCACAGCCAGAATAAAAGCAGGCAGAGGAACGTGGAAAAACTAGACTAGCTTAGTCTTCCAGCCTCCATCTTTCTCCTGTACTGGATGCTTCCTGTCCTCAAATATCAAATTCCAAGTTCCTCAGCTTTTGGACTCTTCAGCCTTTCACCACAGACTAAAGGCTGCACTATTGGACTAGCTTCCTGGCTCTTCAGCTTGCAAATGGCCTACTGTGGGACTTCACCTTGTGACTGTATGAGTCAGTTCCCATCATAAACTCCACTTGATATTTATATATATATAGCTTCATAAATATATATATATATCCTATTAGTTCTCTCCCGCTAGAGAACCCTAATACATTAATAGTATAAACTTATATAGAAAATACTAATTCTATAAAATGGGAAAAGTTCAATATTGGTCAAATAGAATGGTATGTAGGATAATATAAATGCATTTTAAAAAAACTATATTTACAGAGGACTAAGCCTATATGACAGCAGGAAAAAAAAAAACAAATAAAATGGTCACAATAAAAATTAAGTTAAAACCATATGATGCTTTATTTACCAAAAGCATGCACATGAGAAAGATTAATAGCTAATTCAATAAAAAAGAAGCCAAGTATTAAATAACAATGTTGAGTTTGTCTCAATTTCTGTAATAGAAATGTTTTGGAAAACAATGATGTATGATCCCTTTTGTTTAGAAAATTGGCTAAGTTTAAATGTACTTTGGTACAGCAAGGTACACTAGGATAAACACGTTCATAAAATAAAAATGTTGTATAACATAAAAATCCATCCACTTAATGTATTTCTTTTTAAGGTATAGTTCTACAGAATAATTGTTTTAAAACATAAAAATCTAACTATTTAATAAATATATTTCTTTCATAAGGCACGCTTCTACAAAAGAGTCAACCCTCATTCATCCAAATATAAACCAGAGAGATCAATTAATTGAATTTCTACTTCTATAAGATTTACTCAATGATGTAATTAATAGAGTTATGTAATTGCAGTTTTTTGCCAATAAAAGTAAGGACAAAAACCACAATTACTTTTGCACCAACCTAATATATCACAGAATTAATGCAGATTTAGTCTTTTTTATTTGCTATAAATCTGTGGCATAAAAATTAATGTTCAAAAGGTGACATGAATACAAAATACCTTATGAGCAAAATTATATTAGCCCCCAAACTCTGCCTCCTTCTATAATAAAAAGCCTGAGAATAAGAATGATTAATCAGTTTGTACCACAGTGAGGCTAGGCCAGGAACCCTGCTACCATCTTGTTTCTTTTCTCACCTATTACACTGCCTTATCTGGCATGAGTGTTTCCTGAATGGCTATGAAATATAAAATAATGTATGATATCCAGAAACAATGTATGAATTTCCTTTATATACAAGTCATCTAATTTAGGTTGAAAAATGAGACTTCTTCATTTTATAAAATTATTTGCTGAGACATTTTTCTATATAGCCTATTTTCCAGGTATATTTATGTTTATGTATGATGCAACACTGGAAAGAAAATTCATTTATTTTTTTCAAAAATACATATACATATATATAATTATATATAATATGTATATAATACATATACATATATATAATTATATATAATATGTATATAATACATATACATATTTCATATATGTATTATAAAATATGTATATGCATTATAGAAATATGTATTATACATTACTTCATACTTTGCTATTTTTAATATGCTTGACATTTTCATTTTTTCACTTACAATAAATAATAAACACAAGTTCATGGTTTTTTAATTTTTCTTTTTAATTTTTGCCATAAGCTATATAATCACCTAAAACACCCTTCTCCTTAGATGTTAGAAGAGGTCAGAGATCTGTTTGATCTTAACAAATGGTCTCAACACTAAGCCTTAGTTTATTTATCTATAAGATGGCTATAACAATAGTGTTTACTACATGTAAGTAGAGTTGCTGTGCAGATTAAATAAGATAAAATAGGTAGCTAGTATATCTAAAACACTTGGCACCATACATGAAACATATTATATACTAGCAACTGTTGTTTTATAGTTATAAATTTATTTAGCTGTAATCAAAAGCATGAAATTTTAAGATATGAAGCAATGAAGTATGATTTTTTAAAATAGCCTACTTAAAACAATGTATTTCTCTAGTAAAACGAGACTGGCTATGATTTAAGTCAACTTGATAAAGTTGCCTTTTAGATATTAAAAAAAAATGATTCACAGCAAAATTTTTAAGTGACCATATAACCAATATATTTTACATGGCATAAGATATGTAAAATTGAAATTTAATGCAATATACATGTGATATACAAAACAAGGTAAAATCCCCTGTACAACAAAAATAAATCCAATTAAGAACATTAAGTACCAGTGAGAGAGTACACACACAATGAATTTAGTGAAATTCTTAAAAATTAATCTTGAATGCAACAATAGAAAACATTTCTATATTGTATGTACCTACCTGGAGTAGGCAAACAATCTGCTATCCCAAAGATCATGAGTCCCTCTAGGTCCAGAATGAAAATAACAGGAATCTGTCCCATCAAACATATTCAATCCATCTGCTGAATTTTTTGAAGCATGGCTGTGTACCACATCTAAGAGGACTATGATACCCATGGAATGAGCTGTGTCTACCAGTTCTTTTAGCTCTTCAGGTGTTCCATAACGGCTAACAATAAAGAACACAGCAAAAACAAGATTACATCACATTTAGAGGAAATGGTCAATCGTGCATGAACTGCTTCACCATCACAGTAGTAGACACTTTAAATATCCAAGCAGCATGTGATATGATACTTGGATACAACTCAAATTTGCTTCATGTTTGATATTAAGCAAATTTAAAACCATTAAGTTAGAAAATAATTTAAATCAAATTATTAAATCGGGTTATTAAATGTAGATTTATACCCCAACCAAAATTCACATTTTGAGGATGTAAATAATAAAACTCTGCTTCTCTATTCTCAGAGCTTCCGATTTCCACCTGCAAGTAAGTCATTCCTGCTCTCATGTTTGCCCATTCCTTTCAGTGTGTACATTTGAGATTGAGGGGCTCTTCAATAATTTCTTTGAATATCCACAGTGCCTTGATTGAGGCTATCCCTCTTGCACTTATTCCAAAAATAGAATGCCCACAGTTACCAGTGGGCCAAGACAATGTGCCACGTTTGTCACCACGTAAATAAGATGGGTAGCTCACAAGCAGGTGTGTTTGTGTTAAAGGTAGCCCCACAGTCTGAATGAAATAGGTAACAAAAATTACTCACAGAACAAGGCCTTTCTTAACCTGTGTAAAATTTAGACGTTATAGTCATCCATGGCATCAACTTTGCCCTTTAGTCACCCTTGCCTTCAATTGTTTACTGTCTCTCTTCCTCACTAGACTATATGCTTCTTGAGGGCAGCAGCTGTTACTATCAGGCTCCTCATGATATGGTACGGTGCTAAGTATATAGCAAGTCTCCTGATAGCCAACTCCACTGAGCAGCAAGAGCTCTCTTTTTAAACTACAAATAAGATCATGTCACCTACTTAAAATCATACTTGTGCTCCCATTGATCCCAGACTGAAGACCATTGTCCTGATCATGGCCTACTGCACCATCTACTGGCTCTTTCCAATAATGTTAATTATCTTATGACACTCTCCCACACCCTCTTTTTATTCCAGCCACCTGTCCATTTTCACACTCATTGAACAACATGTTCAATAATAAACAGCCTTAAAGTTTTTTTCATTCAGCCATTCACTCATTCCTTCATTCATTCCTTTATTTGTTTGCCAAATACTTACTAAAGTTATCTACCATGTGCCATGACATTTTCTATGTTCTGGAGATACACTAGTGAAAAAAATAAACACCACTGACTATATGGAATTTACATTCCCACTGGGAGACAACAAACAAGGAAAATACGTAGAATGTCGGATAATAATAAATGTCCTAAAGAAAACAAAGAGAAGGGAAGGTTTGCTATTTTAAAGAGGGTCATAAGTTAAAGTTCATGGAAAAGGCAATATTTGAGCAAGAAAAAAAGTAAGAAGCAAGGCATAAGAATATCTAAGGGTAAGAGCATTCAGACAGAAAGGAACAGCAGGTGCAGGGCACTGGGGCAGGGATGAGCTAAGAGCATTTGGAAAAAAGCAAACAGGCTACTGTAACTGGAATGATCACGAAAGCAAAGAGGTGAGCTCTTAGAGTCAGCCAAGAAGCACATCAAATGAGGCCTTGGGGACCAGTGTAATGTCTTTTGCTTTTATTCTGAAGGAGACAGGGATTCACTAGGGGTTCTGAGCAAGACAGCAACACGATCTGACTTTAATTTTTAAATGATTACTCTGGCCACCAGGCAGAAAAATTGACCATAATTGGTAGACCAAAGGTAAGAGAAGGGGAAAGAGAGCATGAGAAAATAGTAACCAGTCAAAGAGCTATTGAAACAATCCAGGTAAAAGATAACCACAAGTTGGACATGGGTGGTGGTAGAGTGGGGGCAGTTGAAGCAGCCAGATTTGGGATCTATTTTGAAGTTACAGATGGCTAGATTTTATAATAGTTAGCGTGTAGGGAGGAACAGAAAGGGACAAGTCAAGTATAATGCCAAGATTTTGGGCTTGAACAACTAGAAGATGAAAATGCCATTTACTGCAGTAGAGAAGATGGCAGGGGGAGGAAGCTTGAAGATCAGGTCAGAAATTTAATTTTGGACACCTGAAGTTCGATATAAGTATTAGATACCCCAACATCAAATATATACTTTCTGAAGTTCGTAAGATAGGTCAGAGAGACTTAAGTTTGGCAGTTAACATATAGCATATATTTAAGCTACAAAACTGGATGAGACTTGATGAGATCCTCCCACGTATTTCATACAGATGAAGAAGAGAATGGAACTAAGTACTGAGTTCCATTATTTAATGGTCCAATATTTAATGGTCATAAAGATAAAGAGGAAAGAGCAAAGGGAATTAACAGTAAGCAAGAAGTGAGGTGGGAAAAGCAACAACAGGAGGCTAAACTATTCTGGAAGCCAGGGAAAGAAAAAGGTTTCAAGAAGGTGAGAGTAACCAGCTGTGCCAAGTGGTGCTGACAGCTGAAGTAAGCTAAGAATTGCCCATTGTCCTCAACAATGTGAAGGTCACTAATACCCTTGACAAAAGCCACTTCAGCGAAGAGGCAGACAGCATACCTGGAGGGGGCTCAAGAAAGAACTGGAGTGGAGGATTTGGAGACAGTATTATAGATAACTTACTCAGGGAGAACTAATATAAAGAGAAACAGGTAAATGAACCAATATCTTTTTTCTATGCCTGGAATGTCACCTATTTACGCCCACTTCACCCCTCTCCCCAGTTAACTCTTAGTTGTGTTTTAGATCTCACTTGCAGTATTTGTTCTGATCTATTCTAAACTGATCAGACTTCTGATTATAGCTCCCTGTCATTTTCATTTTAGCTTTTATTACGGTTAAAAAATAATAATCTGTATGAATGATGATAGGAGCAATGTCTATATGCCACATGTCATAAACTCCACAACACTGAGAGTGTTGGACTTCTTCAGTCTGTGGTCATTTAGATCAGCACCTCGTTAACTACATGGAACCCCGTGGTGTCTTTTCCGTCCAGAGAGCAACATTCCACCCATTTCCGCCTGGAGGGAAGGGCAGTCCTTCCGTGAGTAGTAATTGTCCTGCCAAGGGCCGCTTCAGTGACCTTCCTAGATGAGTCAGTCTCCTTCCGGAAAACGACGTGCTCTCTCACAAGAATGGCTTTCATAGGACAAGATTTTCTGACTAAACCTTGGGCCTCCAAATATGTGACAATTTCAGCAGGTAACTGGACATTCTATATCACAAATCATCCCACGAACAGCAACATAAAATCAAGGACAATTTCTAAGGTGGGATGGGAAGAGAGTGTATGGCCTTAGTAAAAGAAAATGTTCAGTTTCTATTAACTCTGTTAACCCTAAAATGTTACAGAATGTTATATAAAATGTAAAATTTCATTTTATTTATTTAAATTATTTGCTCAAAATAAGAATGAACATAATGAGTATTTGATTTTACCTTGAAGCTGCAAAGAAGCTCGTGATTTGGTAACCAAAGCTGGCATAGTAAGCATGCTCCATGATTGCCATCAACTGAATGCAGTTGTATCCTATGTAAGGCAATGGTCAAATATAAATTAAAAGCCACCTTTAAAAAAAAAAGTAATGGGGAAAAAAAGCATCCTCATTCCCAATACATTAAAATTTACAATCTAGAAGCTTTGATCGTCTTGAAAAGTTCTACTACTTTAACATTTTTTGTTTGACCTTCTAATAACATTGAATAGTCTCTTAGAGCTGTATTCTGACTAGCTATTTGATATACCTTCATTTTAACAAGCAATAAATAATATGCAAACTTGCTTAATTTGGTTTTAGCATATTAAAGATGGCAATCTCTATATGCTAAACAGCAGTTACATTTGTAATAGTCATATTGAAGATTATGAAACCTAAATTTAAAAAACCAATTGCATGACATATACTTTTTATTTTGACTCTTTCTATTTATTTCTATATATTTCAGTCCTTTTTACCATATAGCATAAGAAATAGCACCAAACTCATATTTTTCAGAGGTAGCTTTCTTTTTCTTTTTTTTTTTTTTTTTTGAGATGGAGTCTCGCTTTGTCGCCTGGGCTGCAGTGCACTGGCGTGATCTTGGCTCACTGAAACTTCTGCCTGCAAAATTCTCCTGCCAGGCAATTCTCCTGCCTCAGCCTCCCGAGTGGCTGGGACTACAGGTGCATGGCACCATGCCTGGCTAATTTTTTGCGTGTTTTTAGTAGAGATGGGGTTTCACCATGCTGGCCAGGCTGGTCTCGAACTCCTGACCTCAGGTGACGCACCGCCTCGACCTCCCAAAGTGCTGGGATTACAGGCATGAGCCACCGTGACCAGCCCAAAAGATAGCTTTTATGCAATTAGCATTAATGCTTCTACTTTCCACTATATAATTTGCACCTATAAAATTATTTCCAAGTGCATATATGCATGTATGTGCACATACAAACACATCACCTTACTTTCTCCATCTGGATATGTTTTGCTCTAACAGTAAATAAAGTGACTCAAAAAAGTAGATATCGTGTTTTAAAAATCCATAACATTAAAAACATTCTAATATTTTTTAATATAAGCAAATAATCAGGGGGAAAAGTATTGGTCTTTAAAAAGCTAAGAAAAACAGGTTTTTCTTCTTGAAGTATAATTTGGTAAAATGATCAAATATGATTTCATTACTTTGGAAGTTACAGTTCTGTAACATACATAGAAAATATTCTTACTCTGCTCTCAAAGTCCAATTCATGCAAGCTTTATAATTTTCTTAAGGTTTATATAAGTTCGTTTTTAACGGCAGTTCATTTAAATATGCAACTATACTTGTAAATGTACTTATAAACAAAGGTATTAGATTAGTTTCATTCTTCTGGGTTGGTATCTTGTATCAAGCACAAATTTATAGTTTTATTCTTAATTTTAATGGCATTAATCATTCCTGGATTCACTTTTATTCCAGGTACTAGGCTAGGGAATTCCGACACAAAGACGAATAAGAGAATCCTTGTGCTGAACGTTCTGCAAGAACTGGGTCATAAGCAATTTATTACTCCATAATATGAAAGAATATTTCAAATATAATAATTTAGCATATCTATTAATTATAATTAATACTAAATACTCTATATATTTAATTAATTTTGGTTTCTGGAACCTGACTTTACCATCACAGATAATCCATACATAACTGAAAACTTTAACCATGGCTTACAAATCTTTCTTCTAGACAAAATTTGGACTCCTAGCAGAAGCAGTAAAATTAAATGTGCTTTATCCTCCTGCCTAGCCATTGAAGCAGGTGTTAAATATACTGTCAAATTATTTTAAATAGCATTACCTATAAAAACAACAGATTTAAAACACACTGAATCAATAATTCAGCAATATATTATTCACTCTCCTGTTGGTTATGAAGACAGGATCTGTGCCAGTACAGTTCAATATATGAATAGCTAGCAAAATGTGTCTCACAGAGATATTCTATAAATGTTTGTTAAATAAGTCATCCAGGCAGGGGCTATATAAAATAACTCTGATACAAAATGAGTTCCAGGCACATTACATATATAAGATTTTTTTCCTTAACAGACTAAAATGAACAGGTTATAATCAATGATCACTTAAATTGATAAACTTTTCCTCCAGCAAAAAAGTAATTATGCTTACATATTTATCTATAATTTTGGAAGTCATCCGTTCACATTACTTAAAATTGAAATTGGAATAATATCTTTAATTCTTATGCTCTATCTTATTCCATTTCTCTTTTCTATGCTATCACTATTACAGGGCAATTTGAGAAGCCTAAAATAAAATGTATTTCTATTACATATTTAATCTCCTAACACAAAAAAGAGACACTTGTAATTAGCTTTTCTAATAAGAGAACAGACTCATTAAAATTTTATCTGAATAAAAATCACAGTTATTACTTACCAAGGTCTTTGATTCTTGGTAGTACATTGCACGTAAAATGTTTATAAGAAGCTACTTTTCCTTCATGGGAAGAAATTCCCACATGAGATTCATAAATTCTTAGACTTCGTGGCTTCTTTGGTCTGGAATGCTTAAACTACAGAATATAAATTACATATAGAATTAAACCAGGAATTCAGGGATGACACTACCTGATTAAGTATATTTTTAAAAAGTGGTGAATATACTTAAACACTTGGAACTATTCTCACATATAAAAGGCACGGGCTACACTCACTAAATTTTATTTTAGGAAAAAGTCCTTACAGTCCTGTTAGTGGATTTTAAAAGATAAATCATGTAATAGCTTATGCCTTATCATTGAGTAAAGATTATTTTTTGAGCTTAAGCCTCAGAGAAAATGTAAGATCCATGAAATACAGACGTAATTATCAAATGCAAAGTATATATCAACAAACTCCAATGATTTAAAGAACAGAAAGTGAGTTCAAATATACACAGAACACTTGTCAATAATATGGCGGTAAAAATTACCCTAGTTAATACATTCATGAGATGGTCTTCCCTATTCCATGTTTCTAAGGACATTTATCCTAATTCAAACCCATGACACTGAGAAATATTGCACTAAAGAGTCTCTGATAAATCAGAAATTGTAGTTAAAAAAAACAAACACAGTATCCCTTACAGATTAGTATATAGCAATTTAGTATTCTGTTTTCCTTAACCTCAAAAACAGACTACACAAAAACTAGCTTCTATATGTTATTGGCTACAGAAGACAGACTCTGATACATGCACAGTGTAAGAGGAATACTATGATGTAAAATACTCAACTGTCAGTGAGGAGAAGCATTGAACATTACTACAAAAGTTATAAAAGTAAAAATTAACTTTCCTAGAAGTGTTGGAATAATAATTTATTTAAAGATTTGTTGTTCTCACTTCATATGAGTGTTCTGGATCCCAGTGTAGCCAATCATAGTTCACATTAGCACCTTCACGAACCACATACTTCGCCCACGGTGAAATACGATACAAGATCTCTCCGCTTTTACTAGTAATAACTACCTAAAAAGAGAATGAGATGTTATTGCTTTAAAATACGTCCAGAACTCTGATAATACATAATGGTTGAGGAGTACTGCTACAAGTAGGAGAGGATGAATGATCTTAAGAATCTAGACCACCATACAGATGTGTGACCTTCAGGAACATAATTCTATCAATGTTGGTTTTCTCATCTGCTGTTACTATATCATCCTTAAAGTAACTTCCAGCGTGAACATTTTATGGCTTTCTGGCAATTTCCACCACTGCAAACTAGTCATGAGAGTGCTTACTTAAACGAACAGTAGATACTAAAAAGACAAGAATATTATTTGGAAGCTTCTGTCAATAAATCAATTAATGAGAGAAAATCATCCTACTCCATTAAAAAAAGGAATTAGTGAGTTATATAACCATCTATTTTGTTTCCTTTCTATAGCAACTAATGAAAACATGTTCAGGAAGCTTAAGAAGAACAGGTTTGATTAACACTTACAAAGTGCACACACAGACACATACAAATATTTTCCACGCCTTCTCAACTTCTTTTACCTCCTATTTGCTGTATTCTTTACCATACAAAACCAAGCATTAGCTCCTTTAATCATCCATTCACATATTTGCCAACAATACCACTACTGTTTTTGATAATAAAAAATAACAATAAAATTTATTTTTTTACTGAATCTACTATTAAGACTTAGAACTAAATAAATGATTTTGAATTTATCCAGCCATATAAACGGAACTTCCACATGATTGAAATGGTAGCTTTTTATTTATTTATTTATTTATTTATTTATTTATTTATTTATTTTTTGAGACAGGGTCTCACTCTGTCACCCAGGTGGAGTACAGTGGTGTGATCACAGCTCACTGCAGCCTCGACCTCACAGGCTCAGGTGATCCTCCCACTTCAGCCTATTGAGGAGCTGGGACTACAGGCAGGTGCCACCATGCTCAGCTAATTTTGCGAGGGCTGGGATTTTTTTTGTAGAAATGGGGTTTCTCTGTGTTGTCCAGGCTCGTTTTGAACTCCTGGGCTCAAGTGATCCTCCTGTCTCAGCCTCCCAAAGTGCTGAGATCACAGGCATGAGCCAATGCACCAGGCTGAAATTGTAGCTTTTACACAAAGTTGTCTTTTTTACTAAACTTTCTAAAAGGAGGTAGAATATAATTTTTAAAATCCAAATTAAAAGCTATATTATGCCCTCATCATTGAGGAGAATGTATTCTTCAGTCTCCTCTAATAGACAAAAGCTTAAGTACTCACAATTCTTAGTAACTAAATATTTGTATAATGCTTTATAAAGACTTTTACATTCTTATCTCACTTGATTCCAGAAAATCTTTGTGACCCAAATATTAAGTGAGATTATGTAAGTTGCCAAAAATCCCAAAATAACCAAGTGGCAGAGCCAAAAGCTCAACACAGAGCTTCTAATACTCACTTCTCTTCTCTGAACAGGCTTCCCCAGCACTTCCTTCAGATGCCAAAAAATAATAAATTATGGTTTACAATGGAGAGGCTGGGTAAGTGGTGAAAGGAATATCTAACTTACATGAATACAATTATTTCTCCTTCATTATGCCTCCCACTTATTAAAGCTAATCATCACCAGGTGTTGCTATTATTCAAGCGATTATCACAAAACATGAAGCAATAAGACCAACCTACTTTTAGATTATTTTAACCTTAAAAAAAAAAAAAGTCCCTTAACCTACATGAATCTGTAGTATAATGTACTACAGTAATATGTTTGAGAAAGGGCCTTCTGCTCACTCATCAACCCAGAACAATGTACGAGGAAACAAAATACTATCAATCAGTTTTCAGTGATTACCACTTTGGCTAATCTATCCATCTATGCTGTCTCTGTTTTGTAAATGGCTTCTAAAAGGCAGATCATAAAAAATAATCGTTTCTGAAGGTGTCTCTAGGCAGAGAAAATACTTGCAATTTTAAGACATTGAAATTTTTACTTCATGCAGAATTTAACTCCCACATCCTTTGGAACACTAATTCCTTCATCTTGCTGTACGCAGAAATGTCTCCAGAGGCTACTGAACGATGGGTGTTGAATGTTGAAAAGAACAGTCCCTGCATGGTTCTCGGATGCTCTTACATCTTTTGCTGGGTACACCAAGATGGCAAGGCCCTGACCACTGTTAATGGCAGCCATTTCTTAGGGCTGTCCTTCTAGTGAGCAACCTTCAAGGATAACATAATGACACCCTTGAAGACACAGAGCTGCTACAAAAGAAGGGATTCTCCAGGCTCAATATTATCTAGCTATGTTGTGAACCCAATGTGTGAGCAGCAGTCATCTGGGTCATATAGTGTCACCCCTACAGGGTTTGGAGGACAAGGGGAGCCAATGAAAATATGATGTCTACTGTGCCATGAGTAATAAAATAATTTACTTCTGTTCTAGGAGTCCTGGACCAGAATCGATGGTATGGTAACAGGTTAACTTCTAAGTCTGTAGGCAGGGCAAAATCAAATCACTGACCTGACAAAGGAGTGTTTGCTCATTCAGTGGATCACTTCAATATTTTGTTTCCAAAAGTTCTGTCTTCTCCTACTCTAAGAGTCATTTCTACTAGGGCTGCTTGTTGGAGGGGAGCATTTTAATGTTCCCATTTTCTCCTTCCTCTTATTAATGGAATTGCACCCAAATGTTAAGTAGAGCAAAACTTTCTACCAGATCCAGAACACTGACCTGTGATTGGTACATAATAAATATCTCTACTCTTTAGGCCTCTGAATTTTGCAAGCATTTTTTTTTTTTACAGTAACTTAGGTTTTCCTTACTAGTACACCTGTCTATAGTAGCCATCTCACCTTTTCACTTTGTTCCTAAATTGTTGTAATCTCCATAGCTAAATAAGAGTATCATAACAAATATAAGTAAATTTAATTTGAGAGACAATCAGAGAGTAAAGACTACATCCTTTATGCACTAAACTTTGCTCACAAAACTCTTTTGGTGAGGGGGAGGGTACATCCTGCATATGTGTTATGCTCCAATGAGTTCAAATTCCAGTCGGAAAAATTTTTAGAGAAAACTTTAAGTCATTTAACTCACAACCTCAAAATGTCAGCATACTATGGAGCAAACTGAAAGAAAGAGCTGGCTTGATTGATCTTTCAACAAGAAGTCTGGTAGCTAATGTTTAAAAGAGTTCACTTGATACTGTCAAATGGGAGGTCTGATACACTGCTAGTGTGAGTATAAAGCAGTATAAAATTTCTGAACAGCAATTTGACAATCTGCATCAAAACCTCAGAAAAATTAATTCCAGGTCAGGTACAGCGGCTTATACCTACAATCCCAGAACTTTGGGAGGCTAAGATGGGAGGATCATTTGAGGTCAGACATTTGAGACCAGCCTGGGCAACATAAGGAGACCTGGTCTCTACAAAATATTAATGAAAAATAAAATAAAATTAAATTAATTTAAATTAAACTGACATGATGATGCATGCATACAGTCCTCATTAATTAGGAGGGTGAGGTGAGAGGATCGCTTGAGCCAAAGAGTTCAAGGGTACAGTGAACTATGATCATGGCACTGCACTCCAGCCTGGATAACAGAGAAAGATCTTGTCTATAAAAAATAAATAAATAAATAAAGTTAAAAGAAAAAAGTAACTTCAATGAATCAGCAATACTAATTATAAAAGCTTGCCCATGGAAACAATCAGAGATGTGCCCCAAAAAACTATGTCCTTGTCTATTAGTCTTAGTGCTACTTCTATTAGCAAAGACAGAGTGACTGAATCATGTATAGTTGTTAAAAAATATACACTATTTAAGCATATTAAAGATTGCAGAAGAAATCTTCTAAGCTATATGGAAGAATATATTGTATCTTTCTAATGTAAATGCACAAAAGCTCACAGTCTAAAGTATTTTAAAAGATATAAAAATATCAATAAGGTTAAATATGGGTAAGGGGACTGTGAGTAGTTTTTATTCTCTAGCTATATGTTTTGATGTTATCACTTCATTTACTGGTATAGATTCTAGATTCCAAAAATATCAGCGGCTTAGTAAGGATTACAGATATCTGAATCATGTAATCACACATACATCTGCAGAGTGTGCTCCTCCTTAGGGTGTACCCCTTGTGTACCTTAAGTATATTAACACATTAAGAAATACAACCTAACAAAATATATCAAGTTACTCGAAAGAAATATAATAATGAAAATAATACCATAATAATACCAAATAATACCATAATAATCTTTTTTAATGAGCCAAATTATTTATTTGACTTACAGGAGGTTATCATCAAAAGACATTATTGGATTACAAAAGTAATTTAATAAAAGAAACTTCTAACTTTGCAATAGTCAAATTAACTTAATGAATGGTTTAGAGTCAAATTTTATTTAGAACATGTCATTTAAAACTCAAATACACAATATAAAAAACAGTGAATGATGAAGACAAAAAAGTGTGTGTGTGTGTGTATGTGTGTGTATTCATTCATGCTTGGAATATATTTTAAAGTGCTTCTTGCAAAAAACAAATTTTCCATGTACTGGAAAATTACTGAGATAATATGTTCCTTAGGTGGCCAACAATTTTATATAAAAACATCAGATGTGTTCAGCTGGTTAGAAGTAAGTGTTAGCATACTCTGAAAGATGGTAATGAATGTAGCTTTAGGTTTCATGAAGGAAAGTGTAGCAGGCTAACAGAAAAGGCACAGTTACTGAATCACATAATTCAAATTGCCCCAATTATACTACAAACATCTCCTAATGTTGTGAGGAGGAGGTTTTCTTTAAAAAATTTTTGCTTAAAGCAGAGTGAAAAAAAAAAAACATATTGATCAAGATAACTATCTGATAGGGTACAGGTCAAAGTGAATTATCAAACAAGTGATTTCTAATTTACAGAAAAATATGACTTCCACTTCTTTTTAATTTGACTTTTAAAATTTCAGCTATATTGAGTTATAATTAACAAAAATTATATATATTCAAGGTGTAAAACAATGTTTTG